AAATGGTAAATTATTGAAGCAATTTTAGTGTTGAAACAATGGAATGTAATATTTAAGCTAAGCAGGTAGAGCAAAAACTGACATGATATTCCATCAGGCTTTCGTATGAACAATTAACGTGGTGCGGCCTGCAGTGTGAATAAGGTCGTCATTGCATTAATCCTTCGCAGTATTAATCCTTAAGTGAGCTAACATTAAATCAGCATCGATTCCTTTAATCCTGAGTTATGCTGCAAGCTGCAATATGAATGTTGAATATGAGTCGGATCTTTAGTAACTGCATCCCAGCTCTACAGTGATGTACTTTGCTGACAATGTCTAACCTTATCTCATAGAATTTAAGCTGATAATTAATTGAACGCTAATGAAATATTATGATATGAGGTATTTAAACAGTTCCACGTTAGAATGCAGGCGTCTGATAAATCTGGATTTCTTTTTAGAAAAAAAGAAGCACATATTTTGTGTACTATTCACGTTTTTCCATAAAACCAATTGCAGTTAAGAATAGAACAATTATTCACACATGATCGCGTTCGAATCGTTTTCTAAAAAAATATCAAACTGAGAATAAGAAAAACTTAATTATTACTTAATGCTATAATAGTCTTATTAAAAGAAATAGCAATAGCTTTTGTATTTTAAGAAATACCGAAGTTCAACTGCGTCTTGAGAAGCAGCACGTTATTGCCAAGCCCAGTAGACACGTCCTACAAGAAGCACATAAATAAATCATGAGAAGGCCGCGAGAAGAACCGCTGCTCAGCGTATAACTTTCTGAACAAAGAAATATGTCGGCGTCAAGCTCGACACTCCGCCTCTGGAACATCGGCCAGTCGATGCTTCTTGCTTCGGCAGTTGGAGCAAAAGAGGTGTACAGGAGTGGTTACATAGCTATCTTTAGCCAATAATTTACACTATCTATATATTATATTGTTTAACCTATTTAAGCTATGGCAACAGCATACTAACTTCAGTGTCCAAAGTAAGGTTCAAGGAACCAAAACAACAGGCTCCTAAACCGCGTGTCTGCCCCCACCTTTTCATATCTTCTCAGAGCTCAAAACCTAGAACACAGGTACAAACAATTAGTAGCCTAAAATTCACATTCAAACAATTCACCAAAACTTGGGACAAGAACTAAAATCGAAGATAACAGAAATAAAAATGAGATGACATGTAGAGAAGGTTCTATATATTTACAATTTGTAGATGATAGGAACTGAATGCAGCATTTAAACTGGTTTTCTGTTTGAAAATAAATAATGATTCTAAAATTCGTAGGTCAGAAACACCGGTTGTGGAGGCTAAAACTCTAAAATCACTATTGGACACCAGGACGTTGCACTGCTCGGCATGAATACGTACGGCTGAATGAGGGGGATGCGCAAGTATGTTCCCTGTTCTATAACTCCTGCCCCTATGCTCTGCAAGCCTAGCATAAAAATTGCGCGATGTCATACTGACATGCGCAGATGCGCACTGCGCACAACTATATTGATAAACTAGGGATGATTGCATAAAAACCGGGAGAGGATCTTTGTACTTGAAAAACGAGCTAATTTTAAAGTTGTTCACTAGCAATACATTAAGATTAACATTCGGGAGGTATTTAGAGAATAGATCTTTCAACTCCTTTGCCATCGTCTCAGATGCGGGGCCAAAGTAAGGAAAAGAACAATAAGCACGATTCCTATCGTCACTTTCGGGAACCACCTCAGCATATTGTTTAGACAAGAATTTCTTAATTTGAGTATACACCAATTGTGAAGGAAACCCATTCAGTGAGAACATACTGCCCAAATATTCAAATTCCGTGTGCACACTATGGGAAGTAGAGCAAATTCGGAAACCGCGAATCCCATTTAATTTAATTAATTTAAATCCCATTTAATTTGAAACGAAAAGAACAGAAGCTAAAAACGAAATGTTTTCTCTTATAAGAAATGGTGAATTTTTTGGCACCCAAGTGATTTTAATTCTCAGAGCTCATAAAAAAAGAGGATCTATTATGAGCTGGCTTAGCTGTTGTATTCTTTGATAAAAATGTTTATGGGTCTGTATAGATGAAGTCCTTGCTAAAGTTTATTCAATAATAAATATACCATGAGGAAAGTTGGTTACCAACGAAATTAACTGATTCCCGTTGCTAGAGAAACTAGGATCAAATTTTGAATTTATTTTAGAATTTTGAAATATGACTCGGATATTGCACAATATAAATTAACTTTATTGAGAATTTAAAAGCAAGGAAACTGCCGACGAATCTTCTGAAAGACTTTTCGAGAACCTTTAGCAATTTCCTCCTCTCCTTTGTTAATAAAATATCGCGATTTAACTAACGATATAAATAAATTTACTGTGCAACAGAATGGATAAAAGCGATGCTCTGCCCGCAACAAAAATCAACCATTGGCCATCGATATTCGTTATTTTGCTAATTATACTGTTAACAAGTACAAGTTGCACGGAAAATTTGATTTGCCACCTACGCAAAATACGTGCTGCAATGCTTTCTAAAATAATTAAGGCGCTTTGAGAAAATGTTTCAGGCTCAAAAACGCAATATTTAAAAATTTGAAATCAATTTCAGAAATTGTCAAAGTGTATAAATCGGAATATCATCGTGAACTAGAATATCCTTTTATTATGAACTTTTTGTTTGTTCAGATTGGAGATTTAGTTAATAGGCTACTTTATTTTCCCCCATTTAAAACTTTGATGAGGCAGCCTCCTCAATATTTTAATTAGCATTGTATGTACCACTTACATAACAAGAATGCCTAATAAGAGAAGTATTCATCCAACAGAACTACATTAAATAATGAAACATAACATAAATACGCAGAGCAATTACCGGTATCTCTGAACATTATAACGCTAAATATCGTTATACTCCGGTAATATCATGCAATATGAGCTCGTATATTCTAAGCGAATAAAATTGATTATTTACGACACCCAAATTCTCGGTTCTCAGACTTAGGCGTCTTATGCACGCGTTGGCAAGAGGCTTGCGATAATCTCTTTAATATCGCACCCACTGCAAATTATTTCAGGTCATTAGAAGTTTGGCAGCTCAGCAGCGATCTCCATGATCTTGGAGAACTCATTACCTGGAGCTGCTCACTACTCCAGGCCTCGTATATATTGGGCTTCATGCGTTGCGGCTTCTAATGATACCCTGGCCACGCGTGCACTTCTCACGCTGATATACTCAAACATATGTACGGCAAGCAGGCATTGTGAGAAAATGTAAATAAAAACAAATAGCTTAATGCAAAGGTATAAGTATATTTTATTGTGTAACTATTATTAAGGACTGTGGTGTATATTTGATAAATACACTGCAGTAATAATTTCCTGTTATTGTTCAAGTTTACGTGCAAGCAGTTAAAAAAGCCATCGTCGTCTAATTCCCTTGGGCTAAAGAAAATGTTAGGCAAATTTTTCTTCATTAGGTTCATTGAATAATGTTGCGTAGTATCATTTATCTAGGACGGAAACTAGCTCGCTCTAAAACTTCTTGCGAATAATGATTTGGAAAAATATTTTTCGATGACGTGATGCATCAGATCCGCATCCTGATAGCGGACTAAAGTACTGATTAAAATAATTTTTTACAAGTTCCGATGCAATTTGTAAATTTTTAATCTCATGTGGTCGTCAACTTTTCTTAGCAGCTAAGAAAAACGACCCTTGCTTGGATCGAATATGAGGCGCGGTAGGCAGAAAAAATCGCAACGTGAGCTGCAGTAATGAACATCGGCTCGGCTGTCGGTGCCTCCTCGAGGGTTACAAGAAGAGAATACAAAAATTTCCTTTAAGCTCAATTGGATAAAAAAGTTATACGTACCAAAGACGGGAAACTCCTGAGAATGTTAAGTTACATAAGAAACATAAAGCAAGTATTTCCATTTAAAATATCGATATAGTGGAGAAAGAATGATTTTATCATCTCTCATTTTCCTTTCACTCAAAACTGCACCAATCAGTGATAATCCAATATTTCTTTGATCTCAGTTACGTTTTTCGTTAATTTGCGACATCCATAATTAGGTTATTTAACCATCTAAGTACGAATTATCGACACTAATAAATATCCGAATGCAATTTATAACAAAAATATCAGATCATCGCCTGGCTGTAATGTTTTACGGACACTGGTAGTTTGCATGCAAGCTTGCATATTGTTTAATTAACTATGGCTATTGCACCACAAAAGAGAATGAAGGCATTAATGTTGATGAAAATGAATATAAGAATAATTTTATCATAAGTTGTATTCATTATGAATGATGAATTGCAATGCACATAGAGAAATGAAGCTTTTCTTCTGGCTGACTGAACTCACTGGCCACTCCTGCTAGTCGCCGGGCCTGGTCAGGGTTGGTCAATCTTTTGGTCCTATACTGAATTCTCTATGCCGTGTGATGACGTGGTCCCAGTTCATGTCCCTATCCGTAATGCACAGTCGGAATTTCATTGAGGCAAAAATACCTCCTTCGGTGACGCGATTCATCTTGATTAAACAAAAATAGTAAGCTTGTCCTTGTTTTCGACCAGACTGAAGTCGATGTTGCTCTGCGAGAAGTATTTTTTTTTGTATCATGATACAGTCCAAGTAATTTATTCTTAAAGCTCAATAATTCCCAATTTCCCTTGTGTCCGACCAGACTGAAGTCGATGTTGCTCTGCGAGAAGTATTTTTTTGTATCATGACACAGTCCAAGTAATTTATTCTTAAAGCTCAATAATTCCCAATTTCCCTTGTCCCCGACCAGACTGAAGTCGATGTCGCTCTGCGAAAAGAATTTTTTTGTATCATGACACAGTCCAAGTCTCTTATTCTTAATGCTCAATAATTCCCAATTTCCCTTGTCCCCAACCAGACTGAAGTCGATGTCGCTCTGCGAAAAGAATTTTTTTGTATCATGACACAGTCCAAGTTTCTTATTCTTAAAGCTCAATAATTCCCAATTTGCCTTGTCCCCGACCAGACTGAAGCCGTTATCGCCATGCAAGAAGTGCGGCTTCACGTTCTACTGCAGCGCAGCGTGCGTGCAGGAGAGCTGGGACGCTGTCCACAGTCGCGAGTGTAGCAAGCTCAAGCAGTACCGCTGTGGCAAGGGCGAGCTCATTCCTAGCTTCGCCAGACTACTCGCCAGGATATTGTTCAGGCTCCAGGTCGGATTAGTATTTAAGAATATATTCAAATGTTCACGTTCTTCACACAGCAGTTTGTTTATTATCTATTTTGTTATCCTTTCATTATTGACCGAATTCGAAATTACTTTAAAACTGCCTGATGTCGCACACGTTTAAAATATTGATATCTCTCACGTTTAGATAAATCAAGAGCAAACAATGCAATTCATCCGGAAGTGCAGTGTTACTGTAGCTCAATCTCGTTACCAAACCTGGCAATATTTCTGTACTAAAATTGGCACTGCAATCATGCTATCAATATTGTCACGAAGTTACAACATAAATTTAATTCCAATGTGACAAATTCGATACGACAAAAAGAAAACGAGAAAGTAAATTCTTTTTAGATTCTTCATATATTAACCCAATACATTTCGGAAACTAAACCAAATATAAGATACATTTTCAAATTGCAGTCCATGAATTATACCATCCGGGACAATAATTCTGCACACGAAATTCCGAAGTGTAATTATTATATGAGATTTGCGTTTCAATTTCTTACTTTATATAAATCTGGCTTATCACGAGAACATTTCCCAGATTAATTTCTTCGATAGATTGCATCTTTATTCGCGCACAAGCCTCACAACCACAATAAAACTTAACGCCAAATACAAACGCGTGCTGGAACGTTCAGTCACAGAACATAGTTCGGTTGCAACGAATAACTTGGAGCAAAATCATCACATGAGTTCCTTAGTGATTTTCTCGCTTAAATTGAATACTTTTGCTGATGTTTGGTAGGAATCAAGAACTTACCTATGAATACTAATTTTTTCTACAATGAACTACTATTTCTATGTCTCTGATAGCTGTCCTAGTGATACTAACTCAGGCTTATTAATTCTTTTTTGATGGTAGACTTACCGGAAATTAAACTCTTCCTAATTATCCATGCAATTTATTAATTTAAGTCGTGATCCTATAGCTTTCTACGACGAAGATTTTGTGTTTAAATCTTTCATTTGCTAATTATTCAATTAAAAAGATGCACCTTTCATCATTCTTAACTGTTAAAAAGATTATATATATTAAATTAAATTGCTGGTTCTTCCATCGACCTTCTGTTTTCCAATTCTTGTAATGGCTCACTTAGAGCGCATGGGCTGAGAAAAAAATTCGATAAACTCAAATTTCTTTTCTGTTTCGCCGTATATTCAGGATGGCGGAGAAAAATTTGAGGAAAAATACTGTAACAATCGGGGAAGAAAGTTCAAGGATCTAATGAATCGTAAGTGCTTATTCCGGTTATGCATAACTAAAATGCATGAAAATTGGTGGGTTGTTTTCTTTCTGAAAGATGCCAGGGCTCACTTAGCTTCATTTTATTTTTGCTGCTTATTGGAAGGGCATATTTTTTGACTCAGTCAACTAACCGTAAAATTCTATCTAAGGTCTCTTTTTGGATTCCAATCCCAGAGCATATGAAGTTTCGTACATTTCCTACGTGTTCAAAACGGTCGTCTAGACTTAAATCTAAAAAGCAAAAACAAATCAAACAATCAGACGTAAAACGAGTCACACAAATCTAACGTTTTAAAAGTCCAGGGAAGACTTTTTTCGAGACCTCCAATTTTAAAATGGAGTTTTGAACTCTTTAAAAACAGTTTTCTGAGGATAATGATAATGATATTTTTTCTATTTTTTTAACGCTTCGGCTTCAGAACTATTATTAATCACTAAATTACTAAATTTTATTTTATGACTCTTTATCTTATTACTCCATTGAAAGTGCTTGTGAACAATTTATTTATTTATTTAAAATACTAATATAATTAAAATAAACATTTTAGCACATATTTTTTACAATTATTCGCAAATATAAACTTTCCCTGCCGGATTTTAACATAATTAATTTGATATAAAATATTAATACTTTGCCTTTATTACATCGGGAAAGGAGAAATTTAATTCACGCTACCATTATTGCATCATTAAATTTGGGCAAATTAGTTATTGACGTATGTGCATGAGAGTTAAAAAATACATAAGTGGTGTTTAATGAATTCCAACTATAAATAACCTGCAAATTTTGTACATCTATAGGTAAGCTAATTGATTTGTTCCAATCTATTTCTCAATCGTGAATAAAGTAACGAGTATCTATCTTTTTAATTATAATTTAAACGGATTTCAGTGTGCCGTCGGAGAGCGCAGTCTTTAATATTAGATGATGAAATTTAATATTAACTTTAAAAATATTATTAAACGTTGAAAATTCTTATAATTAATTTTCCCTCACGCAGATTATAAGGACATAAAGAACGATTCTGTGCGCATGCGCGACGTCCGTTCAATGATGAGAATTTTGAACGAGTTTATTGGGCACGAGAACGTCCCCAACGAGAGCGACTTCATCGGGATATATGGCAGGGTGAGTATGACTTATGGTATTTTTTTATTCTAACTCTCCTTTAATTGTTTATGGTTCGGTTAAATGGAAGGGTGTGTATACCTTATGGTATTTTCTTATTCTAACTCTCCTTTAATTGTGTATGGTTCGGTTAAATGGAAGAGTGTGTATACCTATGGTATTTTCTTATTCTAACTCTCCTTTAATTGTGTATGGTTCGGTTATATGGAAGGGTGTTTATAACTTATGGTATTTTCTTTTTCTGACTCTTATTCCGATTAGTTTTAGAAACCAATTTGTGACATTCATGTAATTTTAGACAGTTCATGATTCCTGCTCACATTTACAAGTTGAAATAAACAAAAGTTTATATCAAAACATGATGGATGCTCTTAATGATAAAATTTATTGCAGCTTATGTTTACGGCCGAAGAATAATTTTCCCATTGTTTTCTTAATATGACGGATCAAACTTCTTGTACGATTCAAAAGTTGGATTATAAGTCTAACAAGGGACATTTGAGTACAATACAACGATGTTACGAATACGCATTATTAATTAGAAAGGATTGTGAAGGTTAATTGAAACTAAATTATATTTCCAATCCCACACTATTAACTTTAATTGTGTAAGCCACAGCTGCGAGTTATTCTTACCAATATAATTAATGTCCACACCAGTGAGCCTATCAAGGCCTGCCATCATGATGTGTTTTATAGCCTCTTCAGGCATATCAGGCGCAATTTTTTTATTCAGTCTTACACAAGCGCTCGATTCAGCATCATCGTAAGCCATTAATTCTCAAGGCACGTCAGATGATACGAAGCATAAGGAAGTGTCAATGGTCTCGTAGCTTCCTCGTCTTTGATATTGCCAGTAAAACAGCTACGTATTAAAAACATTTTCAACATCACGCCCCATTGCTCGCCATATTATTACTCCTCCAGGAGCTCACGGCTTTTCAAATCATCAGTCTACCGGCTTGAGTTGTCAGCAAACTAAAAAATTCACTATTTTGCAAAAAAGTGAATTCCAATTTACTAACTCGATTGGGACTCATATTTTTATCATGGCTAAAGGCAAAGTTTCTGTCAATAACGTTGCATTTAAAAAGTGAAAAACTTTTGGAAGATAGTAAATGTAATACGATTATACCATATATACTCGTACATAACTTGTTCACACACGATCTTCTTACCATCAAGAAAAATTAATGCATAAAAGTCAATTAATAACTACGGACAATTCTGTCTTATGAGATTTCATTCTCTTTACCGATTGTATGATTCATTGAAGACATTTTCATAAAACTTTCACTCCTGCTGAAGAGTCATGTAACAAAATTATTCTATTATTTGCTCAAAAATAATTTATTATGCAAATAAGTTGTCATTCTTTTGTAAGCATGCCAGCTCATAGTTAAGTATGAACGATCCTCGTGAAGGTCTCATCTTTTTATGTCTCTGGCATGAGTCCAAGACACGACGTCACTGAGTTATATACGGTTAGTCTCTGCTATTAATAAGCGAACACCAGTCTAACCAGCTGCTTTGGCTCGAGAACAAACGAAAGCCGCGTCTAGCTTTCTTATAATGTCTTCAAGTGACTTAAGTACTCCGATATGGTCGTCGAAGCCATTAACGCTTTTGGCCATATAATTTAATATATTATTCTGTTCTTGGCAACACTTTAAGCGATATTTTTGTTTCACTTTCAACATCGTTGATTTTCGCTGCATTTTAATAATAATATTCATTCCAACTGTAGGTTAAATTTTTGAAAATTTGTCGAGAATTCCTAGGAACTGCACTATTTGCACTATTTTTCCTAGCTCGAGGAACTGCACTATTTTCACAATAATTTGTGTTGAATAATATTCTATTCAGAATCACGACGAACGCGTAATATTTGTTTCGTTGAGAGATTAATTTTCACAATGTGGCTCATTTGAATATGTATTTTATTATAAAATATGCGTAGCTTGTATGTTCATTTCAGTATCTCAAACCGATCTTATGAACATGAAAACTAAAAAAGGATTCTCCATATTTTTCTGCCGAGGTGCAAGAAATAATTAGTCAATCGTAGTAACTTAAACGGAGGCTTTGCCTTCAGATGTTATCTATAACAGCATAAGACAGAGCAAAGTTGAAGTTTAATTGGATATATAACTTTTTAATGTATTAAAAATTCAATACCTCCTGAATTCATAACCTGCAAGTTCTTTCACATTTGGAAACGATGTTCAGATGAGGTTTTCGGCTAAATTTGCGCTTAAAACATTATTTCTCTAGCTTTCCTGTCTTCACTTAGAGAACTATTATGGCAGCGGTGAAAATATTTTTTAGCCCAGTTAAGTCAAATTGTTCATGAACATTTCGACTGGTTTTAATCATAAGTGTTCATGAGCCTTTGTACCTGGAATAATTTGTCAAATATATCTAAGAAATAAATTATATCTAACACTGAAACAGTTGATTAAATTACCAAGCATTTTGGACGGAACTCGGAGGCAGCTTTAATGTATATCTCAAGTTGCTTCGGGTCTACCGGCTGTTATATTTCATTAATTGCCGCAGGCTCTGACAAAGAAATCTTTATAATTTAAAGAGTTCATGGTCTAATATTCAGGCGCTGGTGAACCGCTTCTGCTTGAGTGATGAGGTGAACGTACCGATGGGATCTGCGGTGTTCCTCGCCGCCTCGATATTCGACCATTCATGCATGCCCAACGCCCATCCTTCCTTCATCGGCAAGAAGCTCTACATCAGAACTCTAGTCGATCTCCCGGAGCTAAATCTGGACAAGGTATTCCTCGTAATTACGTTATTTAGCTTTCTTTCCCTGATTGATCATCGATGTAAATTAATATTTTGAGGTCAATCCACATATGCCAAACTTTACTCTCACTATAATCATCTGAACAAGATGCGCCTGTGTCTTGGTGATAACGATGAAATTTTATTTTTACCAACATATTTAGAACATAAATCTCCGCCTGTAGATAAGCCCTTAGAGTATAAAAACCATAAAAATTTTCTTAAATTCTTACAGATTCATAGTGCATATCCTGACTAACATCTAGGAATTTAGATTTAAAAAATGGCATGAATGCAAATAACTTCGAGGATATGTTCTTGGCCGCCCCTGGCAGGTTTTCATCAGTTACATTGACTGTGTGAACAGCAGAGAGATGCGACGCCTGGACCTGCACCGCAACTGGTACTTCATGTGCGAGTGCGACCTCTGTAACGACCAAGAGAGGGCGCTCTATGAGAATTACATCACTTGCGGTAATCTATTTATTATGATACTAAAATTCATCTATAAATTATTGTATTCAATTGAATTAGATTCATTCGTGTTATTCGAAATTCGAATTGAATATGTATCAAGCAAATATCATTTCATTGTTGACAAATAAACGAAACCTACGGATAATAGACCGAACATTTAAATACCTGCAAATTTTGTAATAACATTTAAATGCCTAATCAGACCAAACAACACATCATGCTCGCTTCATGAACATGAACACTAATATAAAAAAACTATCTTTGCCGTTATTTATCTCAAATTGAAAAAATTTTGACCCAACAGAAAACCCTATGTGCGAACAAATGATCCGAGTGCCAGACCGTTACAGCAAGCCTGAATGCACGCAGCCTCCTAAACCCATGGACGATGACAACTCCACAGCCTTACAGAAAGCCTTGCAAGCTGCCAAAATTCAGTTCAAGTTTGCCAGCGTTCCAGTGAACCCTTTTGCATCCCAGGACGCTTGTCTGTCCTACATGTTCTACGACAAGAACCGGTTCCAGCCAGCCTCTGACTCAGAGTGCTCTGAGGTGACCGATGAGTCGGAGCCTAACACGCCGGAGCGAGCGCGCTCGCCTGAGCCGAACTTAAATGGGTCTGGTATGCTCTTCAAATTATTCGAGGCAATTTTAAATATACAAATAAAATAACGCTCCCATATTAATGAGCTATAAATTAAATTTTGCATATAAATTTTATGAAGTTATCTTTGGGGTAATTCAATATTGAAAAACAGAGCTAGTAAAAATAGATCTTTCTAGTCTCCATACATTTTTTATATGAATTCCTTCGTGTGATTTCCTTTCATCAGTATTAATCCTCTTGCACTCTTCCATAACATCTTGGCATGAGGTCATTGAATCATCAATATTTTTCTACGTCTCCATAATTAAAAATTATGGAATTATAAATAAGGCTTAGATAATTGCAATCTCGAAATAGAATTAATCTCAACTCATAAATAATCTCAACTCATACTTAATCTCAACTCATAAGTAATCTCAACTCATAATTAAATTTCAACTCATAATTAATCTCAACTCATGATTAATCTCAACTCCTAATAAATCTCAACTCATACTTAATCTCAACTCATAATTATTCTCAACTTCGCTTCCGTGACAGAGGAGGAAATGCTGCAACCTCCTAATGGAAATGAAGAGAACATTTCACTCGAGAGTGGACTGCAAAATTCCGAGGAGTCCCAAAAAGTTCATATCAATGGCGTGAGTGATGAAAAACAAGATAGCGTGCAGAATGAAAGTAATGACGCTGTTGTCATTCACAAAAATAAACCTCGACATGAGGATGCGCTAACGAACGGCGAGCTTACCTGCGCAGCGAATCGAGACGACGCAGCGACAAATAAAGCCACGGGAGCCAAGCCAAAAACATTCAAGAAGAAAAACAAAGCTCTATTGGAAAATAAAAAATCCGGAAACCCTGATGGTAGGACTGATAAATTGTTGAATACGAACGAAGGAAGCGTAAAAAGCAGGAGTAGTGACAGCGAGTTGCAATTAGTCATAAGTAATGACATTGGTAAGGACGAGAGTTCGTCTCACATGACTAATGGTGGTACGTCAACAGAAGATTTTCACAGCGCCACAGAAAACAAGACGCCAGTTGTTGACGGTGGGAGCCAGCCAGAAGCTCCCCGAAACAAAAAGATAAAGAAACTACGGCGCAAAGCGCCGGTTTTTGAAAAAAGTGACGTGCTGTGCGAGGGATGCAAGTGCTACGTGGACCGGAACACTCTACGGGAGTATCGCTCCACAGTCAGCTTCACGATACAGAGGCTCAAGGATATGAAGGAAGACAACCCCAGTATCCTTTATTGCGATCAATCAAAGTGTTTGTTCATATTTATTTTTCATTTTCACACATTTTTATTATATTTATTCATGTATTACTATCTGCCCTTGTACTTGAACTTGAAGGTGATTTTAGATTTATTATTTAAGTTTTTCTCGTGGGGAAGTTGTATTCAACCTTAGTTGAATAAATAAAGTTGTATTCAACTTTATTTATTCAAAATTTTAGTCCATAATCTTAATGAATACAGATAATCGATCATAAAAAATCCAATCGATGCTAGCATCACATAAGTGACAGCAGTTCCTGAAATGGTATGGCCAACCTTGAGAATTCTGAGAAACTGAACTGCAACGCCAGACATTAATTTCATTTTCAATCGGTTGTCCCTAACATCGGGATCCCAAATAATCTATTCCCATGGTTTGAACTTTGTTCATATCATAACAAGAACCCACTTAACTTGAAATGATTTCTTTGACTAAATGCTCGCAGATTTCCAGGTAGTAACGGACGTTCTGGAACGTCAAGGAACCATCCTGCCAAAGTTGAATGTGTGGCGAGTGCGCGCCTTAGACTTTGCTTTTAACGCCACTTTTTGCGGTGGCGCTTGGATGCTTGCCCTCAAATACGGCATGGACAACTTAGAGGGAATGAAGTGAGTCTTGAATTAATATGATACTTGACCGAATGTTTCGAATGGAGTATGATAGAATTAAGTTCTACTCACAGGGAAAAAATTTGATAATTAATAATTTAATTTCACTAAAAACTTGAATGCAAAGAAAACTCCTCAAAAATTCATAGTACGGTATCTTTAAAGAAAACGTTTCGGAGTCCAGCTCCATCGTCAGTTCGAAAATTGAACACAGATAAATCAGTAATTAGTACAGTCAAAAATACAACGAAAACCCTAAGCTGTAAAAACCTACCTATTTACAATTTCAAGTAGGTACCTACCTATTTACAATTTTCGTTGTATTATTGACTGTACTAATTACTGATTTATCTGTGTTCTAGAATTTTCGAACTTACGATGGAGCTGGACTCCGAAACGTTTTCCTTAAAGACACCATGAATTTTTGTGGAGTTATATTTGCTTTTAAGTTTTTAGTGAATTTGCGATTCAAGCAAACGAGTGACATTATAATTTAATTTCAGTACTCGTACGTCTTCTGAGTTGTCAGATTGTCCTGCGCAACTAAGATTGCCCAAAATAGAACGTTTCAAAACGTGATGAAGTTGTGAAATTTTCACTCGATTTTTCCCTCACGTAATAATAATAATAATATTATTATTCAAACTATCGTCAGTCATGAAAAGATCCGGTCAAATGACACGATTTTAGATCTTCTATGAACAAGGCATGAAAAGGAAAAGAATCGGCGACAGGCCACATCAGGCCTACACTTCAGCGCCGACATCACTATGTTATGTTATGTTATCTCCAACAAATGCGTAAAGAATGTATTTCAATGCACTAATATAAACTGAACTAAAGATTAAGGACCATTTCAGGTATTACTACGGACCAGAGCATCCAACACTCGGCCTATACTTCATGAAGCTCGGCAAAGTGCACATGAACCTCAAGGAGTACAGAAAAGGCCTTCAGTTCGTGCAAGAAGCACATAATATTTTATCGGTGGCGATGGGCCCTAAGCATCCGTTCATCACTGAAGAACTTCATAATTTGGAAATGATGGCTAATGAAGACATTGAAATTTACATCGAAAGACGACTAGCGAAGCGTTGCCAACAACGAACTGAAAGCGCGTGTCCGTGTTGCGGCAAAAAGAAAGGCACGTCACATTATGGTGGCCATGTTCAGGAAGAAGATGAGAAGCCTTGGGAGAAAGATCGGAGAATCAAACAAATGATGCAAGAAGATTCAAAATATTTCAGCTCCAATGATTTCACAAAGTACTGATTAATGTTGTGCTCGTAGTTGTTTCGTCTATAGTTTCTTGTGTCGGAAACAAAACATACGTGCAAATCAATAGTTACTCTAAGAGTTTTACGTGCGATTGCAATTTATTCCGGAATTTTGTGAAGCTAAGCTAGCCTCGAAGAAATCATTATTGAAAAATTGCTGCTGGCAGCGTTTTCATTTGCTGAATTAAAAGATTGTCAAGACATGTTTGTGTATCTAAGAAAACGTTTCATATTTTACTCATGATTAGTGTGCAATATGAATGTTTTTTTATCCAAAATACCACCCATTGCATGGCAAATTTTAAACTGTATCCTGTGTCCCTCAGGAAATCATCTCTAGACGATAGTCATGAACTCATATTGAACTCGCGTTCTTTCTTATTTGTTCGAAATGTAAGCTGTGGACACGAGAAAATAGTGATAAACCGGATTTCATATATTGTCAGACCAATTTTTATGTCAATAATTCGACATATAATATATTGTGCCTTTATTTGATTGTGTTGATAGGAATTTTTTGCTGATTTTCATTTTTGGCTTGTAACTTTTTTCAGGGTTGAGTCAAAGCCACCGACAGCTAAGATAGTGTTGAAAAAGTAATGCCTTTCTCAGCTCCTGACAGCCTGAGAAAAATTAAACAGAAGTTTCTGCATCATTTTCGCTATTGCTGAATCTATGCAGCCGATTTGGTGAGATGGTGCGAGCAAACCCAATTGCAAAGTTCTTTTCTCGACTTTTAGCCAACTAAAACAAAATTATAGGGGTCGCTTTAAACTAATTGAACTGGGTTGGATATAAAATCATTTAGGAAATGAATTTAGCAGGTGTCACCATAAAAAAAAATCGCAATCGGAAAACGAAATTCCAAAAAAGGTTTTTATACTTCACGATTTTTTGATGGTTTGTCGATAGTCATTTCAACGACTAGGGCTTTTGATAGTGCCCAGGCTCCACCCTGCTCTCAAGAATGACTATTCATTGATCTGCGGCAATCGATTGATTTTTGAAATTGAGAATACATGTAATATTCAGCATGAATGAGAATAAGATGTCAATTCAAATCTTAAATTAAAATATGCCAAATGAAGTTGTTTTTGTGCTTCTACGGCAATAGACATTTTATAAAATAAATGGCTATTTGACAAGATTTCAGTAGTGACAAGTTATCCTTGAATGAGCCGAGGGTTTTTGCCCAACATGATTTTATTGAAAAAAAAAATGTGAAGAGCGAAATAAATGTTTCATTAGACCCCAAATATCGTATTGAAGTAGGAGGACTGCAATGCAACTAACTGATTCCATGAACAATTGATAATTCTAACTGAGAACTTGGTTAGCAGTCCTTATGGTTGTTTATTTGTTTTGGTGGCCACTTTTGCTAGCGCTTCAGATCGAGCTATCTCGCGCCGCATGTCGCGTTGGGCATCATGGACTGAAATTTGAGTACATTACATGTATTAGGGTACAACACATACCGGGTTATATACCGTCGAACACACTTGTTTCCCTTAGCTGTTCTCTGAGTCGATCGACATTATAATGGCCGTGTTCTGCTTGGGCCAAAAGACTTGTTGTGTGTCGGGGTTATTTCGACATAGGTGAAGGGAAAATTGCCGTCGGGCATCACCAAAAGACGGGAATTCAGAGGAAGTAGCAATCCTTAGGCAAATCGATTGATACCTGAAGCTTAGTTTGAATCTACCAGCGATTTCAGATTATCTCTGAGGTCATCAAAGGACCTAATCAATACTTATAATCACGAAATTTCAGTAAATATTTTATGTTTCGCCAATTTTATGTGCAAGTGATCAAAACCCACTTTTGAAATACTGAATATGTTTATTCATTCCTCTACGTGCATACAAAATATATATACAAAATGTAATCCTTCAAATATATTATCTATTTTCTACATGACACTAGCTTTCAGTAACAAAGCTTACATTGCCGGTTAAATTACAGAAAATAGAATTCGCATAAAATACATTGTAAACGTGCACGCTATTTGGGCTTCCATCTCTAGCCATGACACAGAAGTTTCCTCCAATACTCTAAGCCTATAAATGCAGGCCTAAATAAAATCATGTCCGGAATGTGAAGCATAACAAAACGCGACACACATCCCATGCTCTACAACGAGTACGGTATCTCCAGACACAACCGGACTCTTGAGTAATGTAGGCAAGATAATGTTTACAATGGCAGAATATAGAAGGCTTCTGAAGTCCTGCAATTAACAATAGGCACCAGGCACATCTTCGCAAACTAAATGCCAGGCCCTGCACTAATAAAAAAGTGAAGAAAATGTACATAAAAATAAGGAGAAACCGAATATTTTAGCTACCCTAACAGTTCAGGCCATAAAATAAATTCAATACCACAGAAAGCGAATTGTGCAAAATTTTCCGGTAACTTTGACACCTTCTCTTAGAATAATGATGCCTATCAATGGTCATAAATGCTTTTTGCTGACTTGTACATCACGCTGGTTATACACGATAATCTTAGAAAAGCGAAGTCCGGAGAAGACGTTCCAAAGATAAGCTACGTGTGAGTCTTTAAAAACAGTCAAGAAATTGTCAACGTGAATGCTGCAGAAAATGTGGTAATAAATCTGTCTGGCTTTGTAAAGCCGTTGTAAAAACCATACAAGTCATCGTACCATATGTGCTTCACATATACCCTGGACATTGATTGCTTGCATTCAGAACAAAGTGATAGCAACAACTACCATGTCGTGGGAATTGCCTCAAACTTCATTAAAGCTCTGGAGAAATTGGCAGCATTTCTAGCTTTCGTGATACGGTGCATTAATTCTGATATTTCTCATGCATTGGTTCTTCAATATTATACAATAGTGTGATAATATCATATTAGGAATCCATCCGAGCTCAAAAATACGTTGGAAGAATAGTCATCTTGTGGCTAAGTGGAAGAGCTAGAGAGCGTTCAATGGACAATGCAGCTTTTAATCCCTGAGAAACTGGTCTCGGAAAATCTTTTCATTCAATACTCGCGTGGATCATCGCAAAGAACATCAGAGGTAACCAACAAAATCAATTAAAAAATGTCTCCAAAAACTAAAGAAATTCTTGCGCATTCATCATATTAAAAAAAAGTAACATCAAGAATGAGGTCGCAGCTACAGTGAAAGTTGGAGATAAACATATTCGAAAAAACGTGCTATCAGCTTTGGAATACCAGCAAAAAGTAGTATCGTCAGCAATTCGCTGATGTCTTCATAAAAGTTGGCCGATTAACGTGGAACGTTATCCTACTATTAAAGGCATTAATTACACAAATAATTTGAGCAAAAATCAAAATTACAACTAAAAGATAAGCTAAGACCAAGGACGCCAGCTGACGATATCAAATTACATCGATATTTTTAGCCGAAGAACGAAGTAATTTAATGAACTTAAGCCTCAAACTATTTAACCGTTCCATTAACAACAGATTATAAACTAAGCGTTTAAAATGATCAAACTGTTTCATTACTCAAGACCAAACTAGCACCCATTTTAATTATTTTAGTAACAATATATGATATGATATAGTAATTGCAACAGCTCTAGGGTTGTCATCATACATTATTTCCTAGCATGATAAGTGAACTGATCAGCAACCAATGCACTGGCACATCATGGATTCCTGTCTAGGACGATGACAGCTGCATGAAAAATATTGTCGAAATATGGCACGTATCATTCATCACGAATATAGGATTCAGTGCAGCAGGTATTGGAATGTTACATAGGAAATGCATGGTAATGTTCACTTGATCAGTTCACATCGAGTTGACTTGGTCCTGCATAAGAATAATACACAGCCACTAGGAAGGCTCCACGCTCTACTTCCAGACAGTGTTGAAGAGGTCCATGAAGGAGTCGTAGATCATGAAGGTTATCGCTACGTCCAGACAAACTCTGCTCAGTCGCGGCACGGTGCCTTTGTAGAACCTGCGATCAAATGCATGTATTAGTTCTGGTTAATTGTATCTCCATGCACATATGGAGTCGTGACACTATAAATCCCACGCGCTTCTGAGCTTCATAGGTGACAGTTTCATAGTTGAGCATTCAAACCTGAACAAAAAATTGAACAGTCAAAGGGAAGGAGAGCAGTAAACTCAATTGCTATGATGATCCTTCTCATATGGGGTGATTAGTCGCACTGAATAAATCAAGTCTTAACCATTAACCGTCGTCAATGCAACTCGCTTCTACCTGCCTGGTTACCAGATTTGAGACATAAACCCTTGTCCGACTCCTTCATATTACAACGTTATAAGTAATCTAGCCGTGTGTGAGCAGTCCGAAAAAGGTTAAACAAACAGCTACAGATATAAACATAGTACTGAAGGTAAGATAAAGGTGAGCACGACTCACGCTCTTGGTCCCTCATTCTTCCATATTTGTACGGCGCAGTCGAGCGTGTTCTTGTACTTGCTCGCCTCGAGGCCCTGCATGCGGGTCTTCACGACGTCCACGGGCGTGTTGCCGTACACCGACGCCGCCCCCGCCAGCCCGCCGAACATTCCTGCCCAACAGAAGATTTTAATAATTTTTGATGCATGAACAAAAAGGCTTCAAAGGGGCTCGTCAACAGCACCAGCCAGCCCGTCAAATATTCTTGTCCACCAAAGGCTATTATACTTCGTACTGCATAATACAATGCTACTCGTATTCCACAACCGCCATGCCAGCGAACATTTTGGTCCAGCAAGCTGTTAGAAATTACGACTACCTACAACACGAACTTAATTTTACTGCTCATTTTTAACTCAGCCTATTCACCGTATATTACTGCCCAACAGGAGTCTTGAATTTTAACTACACACACTTTATTAGTCATTTCCCTCGTCAGTCTGACTCATGAATACTATGATAGTGTTAACGAGCTTTCATAAACTTTATTTGAATATGAGTTATTTATCAAACATTTTCTTAGTAAATATTAGACATACTAGAGATCCTTCCTTTAGCCTACTAGTACTCGTACCAAACCGATGTTAATATAATTTAAAAGCATGAAAGCTGCCAAGAAAATTCACAGTAATTTTATTGGAAACGTTTTGAAGACCAGCTACATCATACGTTCAGAAATCAAAAGAAACAAAAAAAATCAAATCAAAAGAATGACCAGTTCGTTGTGCTGAATTTGCGCTTTTAATGAAATTAAGGCGAATTTAATAGGAATTTTCTTATATTTCAAATTATGGATTCATTTGTAATCTAAGCAAACTAATGAAATAAATTCAGGTTAAAAGTTGAAGAAAATAATGCAAGTTATCAGCTGCCGTACCATCAGAATTTGATTAGTACAAGTAGAGGCCGATTCCTCGTCTGTAATATGAGCTTTCTGCCTGAACACCCGTCAGTGATTAACTGACGGAGTTTCGAACAGATGATAAACGGTCACAGATGTCCACTAAACGCTCCATTTCCACTCCAATATGGTTTCCGCGCAAGGTGACTAGGTACTATTTTAGCATGGAAAATTTCCCCGTGATTAATATTAATGCACGATGAGCGAAGGTCGTGCACTCATATCCAGTACTGACCCACAACGAGCTTGGGAACCTTCTTGTCAGGGTCGCCTCCTCTGTACCAATCCTTCAAGGTCTCCATCACGTAGAAGCGGATCGCCTGGTTGCTGCCCTGCTTTATGATGGTCGCCGTCACCCCCTGGTAAACTCCCCGAAAACCTGAGAATTTAACAGCAATATTTATTAATATTGAAACGTGTGAAACGAAATCATTTTGGAAATTCAACGATCATGAACGATACATGAAGCAAGACTGTCCGATAATTTTGGCACGGAAATAAACCTACAGCAAAGAAAACTATGAACGACAGTTGCTCAAGCAAAACATCCCATCGATCAACAATTAACACAAATCTTAACTATATATGAAGTTCTTCCCAACTTTCTTCTAAATACTATTCGTTCAATTTCAAGTTAGTTAGTTAGTTTAGTGACCCTATGATTACTAGCGCTTCAGCTGCTAAGCTATCTCGCGCCGAATGTCACGTTGGGCATTATGGGCTAAGAACATATTGCATCACATGTATTCAGCGTTGACCAGATCATATACAGTCGAACATGTTTATTGCTCTCAGGTACTCTACGAGGCGGTCAACATTATAGCTACCGTGTTCTGGTTGGGCCAAAATACTTTTTAGGTGTGTGTCGGGGTCGTTTTGGCTTAGATGGGGGAAAAATTGCCGTCGGGCCACACCAAATGATGGGCACTCACAGAGGACGTGGATTATGGTCTGGGGCACTAAGCAATCCATGCAATAAGGTGCAGGCGTGCGTTCCATAAGATGGCCATGAGTGATTCTTGAGTGTCCAGTGCGGAGGCGGGTGAGGCATAGTTCAATTTCAAAATTATAACCAATTTCCAAGCTGTTTGAACATGCCGCACATACAACAAAATAACAACATGATTTAATAACTACACACATTTTATTTCTGTATAGTTATTAACACATATTAAAAGTGTAGTTCACGAAATGTTGCAACTTGAATACTGGTAACGTCTCAATTCAATGACATTTTAATTATGCCTCAGAGCAAAAACAATTCCAAGATGGATAAGCATTTGAATTTTAATTTTCGTTTTATTTCTGAAAACTCGCTCAGTGAGGACGACACAATAAACATTATTAAACAACCCAGTCCCCGCACCGCTCTCCTTGATGATGCACGAGACGCCGTGAGCGAACCCCCTGAACCTGGGGTTGGCCGACCGCTGGTCGTTAATAAACTTGACTTTGACGGTCTCCATGGGCGTGACTGCGAGGATGGCCTCCGATACTCCGGCGCCCAGGCCGCACAACAGTCGCTTGCTCGCCGTCAGGTTACCTGAGGCGTCCACGTTGCGCTTCTTCAGCTCCTCGAACGCCCCGAATCTAACCAATTAAATTCGTTAGATTAAGTTAAATTAATCGAATTGAATTAATCGAGGGAGAGGTCGCTATGCTTTCATCACCCATTATTATAGTGAGAAAACTATAATTAAGGATTTTTAAAGTTTTTATCTACTGAAAAACAGAAGTATAAGACAATAAATTAATAAACAATGCAGATAATTTAATTTAGAGAGACAATGTTTTGTATTTATCACTAGCAGCCAAAATAACTATAAATAAACTAATCATTTATTTTTGCTATTACCTGACTGCACTTTTAGGTATAGACCCATAAAGCAGCACAGAAAGACCTCTATAGAGTCCTCGCACGCCGTTGGTTTTGACAGTTTTCTTGACGCAGTCGACGATGCCATCGTATTTCTTGGCCGCCGTGCCGCTCTTCTCGTCCAGCTGCAGCTGAGTCTTCACGTACTCAGTGGGGAATGTGATGCAGATCTCGATCCCACCCGTGATGCCGCCTGTACAATAAGAGGTGTATACCCGTTAATGCAGGGATTAATGCCAGCAAATAATGTCCATATTGAAGTGAATTAACTAGAAGGATTCACTGTTGAAACGAGTTCTATACCCGTTAATGCAGGGATTAATACCAGCAAATGATGTCCATAGGGAAGTGGATTCACTGTTGAAACGAGTTCTGAGTCGAGTAACAACTCAAAGAAAAATAATATACCCTTGACAATAACTTCGGCAAATTAACGACTGGGCGGAAATTGGCACATTTAGCGACTGTTTACATATAATACTATAGAATCTCTGAAAGCAATCACTTATTATAACAAACAATTTTCATGACAACCAATCATTTTAGCAATTACTTTTCCCAAGGGCATTTCGATTGTTGCCCGAAAGAATGATTTCGGCCGTATACAATCGACATTAATGGACCAAACTAAGACTCTAGAGTATGCGATGCATTGACTATTACTGACAACCACGTTTGATGCACACACTAGAAAAAGTTCGTGTGCCTGAGCCTTTTTTATCCGAAGATAATTGTGATATATAATAATCTAAGCAACACTCGACCAAAAAAAATCAATCGGTCTCGCAATAGATTTAGAAATAGGCACATCACGAAAAGATTTCATACTTCTCTCAGTGAAAGATTATCAATAGTAAAATAAATTTATAATACGCCAATTTTTTAGATCCCCTGTAACCGAAGATCCGTGTAGAGACTCGAACTTTACGCAATTCTTGAGGTAAGGTGCGCCGAAGATGATTTCCAAACTATGGTTGGCAGCGAGAGCCAGGAGTAAACGGAATTCGTCACATTATCTACACGCCAATTGTGGGCTTTTGAAGCCATGTGATAAGGGCCATTTGATAGCAAACGCATGTGTTCGATTGGAAATACGGCGTTTAAACTAAATAATTAGGAGTCCAACACCTGGCAGATTTCAGACACAATAAAGATACTGAGTACACGGGTTCATGCTGCGTTTTTTTTATTAATGCCGACAAAAATGTTAAACTAGATATATAATTTATTCAGAGCAGAAATTGATTATGTTTGCGAGTTATGAGCAAATGCAAGAGCAGCGTAGATTTCTGTCGTTTCATCCATTTCTTTAGCAGAATTTTGGATCAGCTTGCTTCAATGAGCTCACCGGTGGAGGGGCGACCTGCCTATATCGACGTCTTGGAGACGGAGGGCGACGAAGGTGGCGCATCGAAGTGGGACCGTGGACAAGAACTTCTTAAATTTTACATAAGGACAAAAAGTGTAGACTCCTCCTCAGGAAGTTGAATTGTTACACGCAGCAGTGTAGGCAATGAGCAATTGGCTGGCAGAGCCACCGGTGAACGCGCAGGGCAGGAGCAGAGAAGAGCGGGGCAGCGCTCGGCAGGTGTGGGCGGGCAGAAGAAGTCAGTATTGATCCCAGGCGCGGTCGATGTCACCTCGACAAGCGTGCCCAGGGTACCAACACGCCCTCTCAGGCACCCCTTTCATGAGCGACGTTATGTACCCCAGAACCAAACTTGAGGTACAAGTGACATATTACTCCATCGTTCATTATTCGGAGAGAACGAATCTAGGTAAAAAGTAAGTGTAACCGTTACATGTACACGAATTATAAATTTTTACGAAAAAATAATTATTTAAATCACAGCTTAAACCGAACATCAATGCTTTTTCATCTGACCTCTTCTAATGTACGGACAGTTGAAGTATATCAACAAATACTAATGCTCGATTTCCCCGTTGTGCTGGGAATATAAGAATTCAAGACCGACATTAAAGTATCAATTTAAGCATCCTATCCAAAATGGAATACCAGTAGTCAATTGAGAAGCTACTGAGAATCACTTTAACATCAACGACAAAGATTAATTTGAAATTGAAATCAATACTTTAGACCCCGTTACTTAAGTATCCGAACGAACATTTTCTGTGAACGACTCAATAGCATGAGCACTCACTACCACCTTCATCAGCATCTTCGTTAGTTAATTAACATTACGAGACCAAAATGCTCATACTGCATGTATTCATTTTTAAATCGATCGACCGACAGCCACACCAAATTTCCCAAGCAGCTTCGCATAAGCCGAGCAAATGAAGGAAAATACGCGTCTAAAGCGCACGTTCTGAAGACCTCACACATTTGACAATATCAATTTGTTCAGCGTTTAAGTCAGGCTACTTTTGGACCGTGTGTCTCGCGCACGATCGCCGGAAAAAAATTACTCGATGTTTGACTGGGTGATTCATAATTTCTACAGGCACGACACCATCTACCAAAGGATTTTCGACAAACATTGACTTATACTTCGAGTTATTAAAGGCAGAATCACAGATCTTGGAGGCAGCATTAGGTTGCGTTTCTTGGTACCTATTTGAGCTCTAAGCAGGATTAGAAGTCGAGGGATACCGTGAATGTAAACAGGTGCCAAAGACCATATAAAACACCTATACACGCTGTCGTAAATCACCCACCTTCGCATAACAAAAACTACGAAATGAAACGAAAAACGTGCTTATACACAGCCTGTGGCTCAATACAAAGACGTAGACTAACTGGGCACAATGAAAAAAATGTAGACAGTCTGGGCTCAATAAAAAAAATGCAGACAGTCTGGGCTCAAAAAAAAAATTACACTGTCTGGGCTCAATAATTCTCAGCTTTGGCACTGTTTTTTTTCTCAACTGCACAAGGTTCTAGACACTGATTTGTACGCAAGGCGAGCAAGGACCTACTGACCTTTACTGTTAGCTGGTAAATTAGCGAATAGGGCACTAGCAATGTCGATCACAATATTGACTACAGGAAGCGTTAGTCCGCCCAGAATGCTGTTCAGTGAACGACAAAACAATTTTAGCAAGTCAGAATTTCTAGACACGATTCCCCAGAAGCTGTCAGGACTGGTCAAGTGGCTTCGAGAGTTGAGATAACGGCGGACTAGAAACAGGTTTCAAGGTTGCTAGGGTAACCCTGAAGGAACACCCTCAAATTAAACTAAATTAAATTACCAGACGGTCAGACAACAAGATAATACTTTACATCTTCAACTATAACTAGGCACATTATGGAATAATCAAAACTTTCAGCCCACGATTATATTCATGAGCCAACAGAACGCAAAACTCAGTGAGATATGGCAGAAGAATCCAAGTACAACTAAAATACACTAAAAAATAATTTCTTTCGCTTATGTGAACAAGGTGTCAAATAGGTCTACGAATGAATGATAACAGTAAATTCCTACTGGTTTCACTTTGTGATAGGTCAAATATGATACTCGTACAATACGTAGCATGTAACTAGTACCGTACCTAAAATAGAATTTTTTACAATAAATCAATCTAAATCAAGTTAAATTGCAATCCACTGTGAATAAATAATAATTAAAGAATGAAAATGAAACGCGCCACATTCTAAGCGTGAGCATGTTGCGTCAAAAACAATAACGCGCACTCCATAATTGTGTCAGGAAAAATGCGGTAGGAGGCCATAAACGCAATACGAGAGCTGCCTGCTAATGACAGGACAAACAAGCGGTTGCCTCGAGACGAGTCACTGCCATTACCGGATAGACACAACGTCAACACGTAGCGTTAACTACAACAAACACAAGAGATGAAGTATAACATAACACTGCCATTAACGGACTGGAATACGACACTAGATAATAGCGTCGTGAACGGAAGAATAGATGTCAGGCCAGTTGACTTTTTTATTGGCGATTGAGGACTGCAACCAATGGGACAATCGAACGGATATCACGCAATTTCTGTGTCATTTTGGAACAAGAATCTATTCATCTCCGTTGCGAATGAATGTCTATATTTCAAATAAAAATACCGCCCGCACCGATTGCATGACAGCGGCGAAAGATTTACCTAGAGGGAGTTCGGTTAGAAAAATAAGACCTAGGGCCTACGTCACAAATTTTCATCAGACGTTTGTTTGTAATTACCCAATATCCACTATGGGTCGTCCTCTCTTGGCCGCGCACAAAATTTATCAGACGAACAACTTATCTCGCAGCCTTATCTATGGCGGTAATGGGTTTGTTATGTAACACTCCTTGGTTAGACGAAATACGCTTCAGGCAAGTTTCGCCGTACGTTAGGCAAAAAGGAAGAACGGAAAGGTCTCGTAACTAGAAAAAGTTCACGATCAAAACGACTATATACAGCCGCAACGATAGCATCGACTTGCAAGTTTGGTTTAATCGAAAATAATCATAATATTTCTAGTAACATTTCCTTAAATGCATTTCCTAAACATAACACCTTAATCAATAGATTTTTCGGTTTGATTTTGACAAAGGATAAAACATTTCACCAGACATCCAGAGCAGAAGATTTACAACGCTCCTCGACGATAACAACTTTTGAGCTCCATTGCTGAGAGAACCAGTGAAGCGATTCAAAAACACAACTGTAATCAAGTTAGCTCTAGACGTAACACGTAATAGAGCTTGTAGATAAACAAAGTATTCAGTACCAATATTAAAGGAATGTAAAAAAATTAGTGTCTTCACCTGGAACAAAGAAATTTGTTCTACGTTGAAAAATTGAGTGCATCATTCGATTTCTCCTGGAACAACAAAAAAAATCTGTTCTACATTGAACAATTGAGTGCATCATTCCATTGAGCAACAGGAGTGGTCAGCAGCAAAAGACGACACTAAGATCAAGCAGTCAGTCATCACTCAATAAGTCAAGTCTCGGTGATAAGAGAAGCTTATCAGTGTCCCTGTGATTGCATAACAATGGCGAGGTTTGATGCAGAACAAGACTCTTTGAATTAGGCTCTAGAAAAGCTTCAAAATAGACATGTATAATACTGGCGTTCAAAAATAATGTTATCCATAAAGGCAAGGAAGGTTACTCATCTTGAGCGCATCTGTATGTAATTCATATTTATTAAAAATTCATATATACCTTTAATAACATGAGCTTTGATATGACAAAACATCCAAACTTAGCAAAAATAGTAACAATGAAAATAAAAATTCTGATAAGCTGTATTTGTAACTGGCACAAATTTTTAAACAAAAATGCACCTACATATGAACAGGAAAATGCAGACAATTTTTCAGTATGGGTAACATTAAAAAAAAAAACTTTTAATTCAGGACAGAAAAAAGCAATTCCCCAGAGTAATACATATGGACAGAGAGCTAAAGGGAATGCAGTGAGAAGTTGTATTTCACAGCCAGGAATTTAATTTCCACAGGAATTCCAGCATTAGTGCCATAAACATGAATGCTTTATGTCATCCATTGTCACTCTTAAATACCTGTAACCTGGCTATGGTCTTTGAAATTCACACTTCTAAATTTTTTAATCATTGATGAAGGTATTAATCGAGCAATACTTATCCACTTTTATCAATAAAGTTAAATACTTTTATTTTCCTAATAACTTTTGTTAGACCATTGCAAATAATCAAACTCCATCAAATGGGAGTTAAGTAAATGTTCTAGAATTTGCATTCAGACAACAAGTTTCCCAAGACCAACACAATCATGTCAGTGAAAGAATCAACTGTAGGCTTGATTCAGTAAATAAATTATCCATTAAGAGACAAGAAAATGTTATTCTTAAACTTAACTCAACTTTTTAACTTGACCTTTTCTTCAGTCCAAACTATTACATCTGTGAAAAGCAATAATAGAATCATTTATTTGAAAATTAAACTTGAAAATTAATGCAGGGATTGTGGTAATTGTCAAGTTCTTTAAGATCAGAGCACAGTTCAGAAAACAAAAGGTATTCCAAAATAAAATGTGCCAATAATATGAAACATACAGACAAGATGGAACATAAAAAATATAGACTAGAATAAACCAATCATTACCAATGTATTTCAATAAACATAGCTTACCAAAATAAGCAATACACATAATAGGTATTGAAAAGCATGGCACATATTTTACACTCAAAGTATGAACTTGGAGTAAAAATATTAGTATAATAGCATCTCAAAGAAGAAGCAAAACAAGTACCTAGTTGAGTACTATATTATACATTATATAAAATAGGATGTTCATGTCAAATATATTTTGTTGGAGTTTCAATTTCTTTGATTTGAGAATTCAATATTTGTATTTTGATATACAAGTCAAAGATGATTAATAATACATAAAAGAAAAATTATTTTGTCAATGTTAATATAATTTTGGAGCAGTTGCTGGCAAAATGTTTTGAAAGCAATTGCTAACTTATATTACATTTATGTTGAAAATATCAACCTTAAGACAAGTTGAATGATGCTAGACAATTTTACATTTAAACCTTCCTATTGATATGTACTACTAAGATGATAAGCAAAATCATTAATGGTGGTTAGTCTGATTCATCAATATAAAAAGATTAATTGAACTTATGAATGCAAAATTCAATTGATTTTACAATAAATGCTGTTATGAAGTTACTGGCATCAAAAAATTCATGTTAGCCAATAAAATTAGCCTTAATATATATGACAGTAGCTAATAAGAAAAAGGCTAGTTCTAAAACATACAATAAATTCTTGGGTTTCTCTTGACTCTTGAGAAAAAATTTTTTTTACTAGCATACTAGGCTACAATCCAATCCACTACGTACATAATGTGCTTTTGAAAGATAATTGTTAACTCATGCTTAGCAAGCACTTATGAGTGGTAGACTGTAGAGCAATACAATTATTTACTATGTAGATCCATGATAAATTCTTCCTATTAGCATCACAAATATCAAATTTCAAATTTGTGTCATTAGTATTACTGCTACTGGAAGCATGCAACCTTATACATTGCTTCTTTTTTGCTTCTAGCCTAATAGTCCAATTCTATCTCACAAATTATTTCTATAAATCTATTCATACCCTAAGGCTAAGCTGTCTCTAAACAGACTTAATTGTTATTTAATTTGCCCAAAGCCTGCACAATTTTACATTTTCTAGTATAATAATTACTAAATCTCAATGAATTATGAATAGGGAAGTTTTACTTTTCTACAAATCTTAGCTCCAAAATTGTTTATTAATTTATTAATTAAAGCATTTCAGTGTCTTATAACTTGAGCTTGAGCCATGCATGTAGAATTATTCTAAAATCCTTGACCAGGATTATACAAACAAATGATTTGACAAATCAGCATAAATTTTCAAGCTTGAATCCCCAAGGCCCAATTTGCTTATCATCTGGATTGCTGGTAAAACTTAAAAGTAGAGAAAATACCATGCATGAGCTGACAGTGACAGTACTGTAAATGTGACAGTGAGGCAATGAAATGATATGACTATATGAGATCTGAATAGTGCCGAGTGCGGTAACGGGAGTCGGGAAGTGACATCCACACGATAGCGATGTCCAAACCAATTTCTTTACTTTGGTATTGACGACAGAAATTCTGCAGCATAATCATTTTAACGATAATGGTGACTGATACCCATCTCTTCTTAAGCATGATATAAACATAAAGTGTTGGCATGAAACTCAGTGATATGTAAGTCAGTAACAGTAAGTGTATTCGGGTAATAGGCTGTTCCGTAGGGCAACTGGCAAGCGAGGTCACTAGATCCGATCGTCCGTCTCAAGTTCATACACAGCGCGAAAATTTTGCAACCACTTTCACCGAAAGACTGAATTAACATTTATTCATTCACGACAAACTCGCCTGCAATGATTCCCTTCAGTCCTTTGTTTCCACTTCCGGTAGCAGATGCAGCACCACCGGAATAGCCCATCCAAGGCCTTCCAAAAGGACTCTTGAAAGGCGGGGAGCTCATTGTGGAAGGAGAAGGGAAAAAATAACACAACCGTACCACGCGGTGGCTAGTCAGCTACTGATTGAAAATTACATAAAAAATGATCAAATCTGAGTTGGTGAATACGCAACATATAAATTAAAAAGTCTAGTGAAGTACCTCAATTCCTTTTTTACATACGCCTCAAGCGCTGTTGAAGCGAATAAGTTGCTACCGAAATTGAAGAACAGTTCTGTCCTAGAGGCTAATGTCAGAATCAATATATCTAATACGCAGCATCAGAAGAAATATTTGATAATGACTGCCGTAACCGTTGTCAGAACTCCATTTTACTCAGAATTTATTAAGAAACCCTATTCATCCATGTTATTGTTGAAAGTATGATAGTTTCGGGCTACCTTATGACTGCTTTAAAATTAGATTTAAGAACATTTCATCAATTTAAAGGATTTAGGCAATAAATTGTGAAATTTTGTCCTCTATAGTAAGAAAAATATTAATTTAGTCGTTCCATATAGATCAGAATCATCATTTACTTTGAGTATCAAGTTGATATTAATGACTTTTGTTTTAATTTTTTTTTTATTTCAGTAGGACATTATCAGTAAAGTGCTCCGCGAATTAGGTGTCGCGGCTGAAGATGTATTCCGGCTGATAATCGCTCGTTTCACAAATGCAAAAACGGCGGAGACTTGGAGGAAGAGTTAGGTTCGTTGTGAAATTTCCACAGGTGAACGCAGAATTTTTTGTCGCTAGTTGACTTGAGTGTGTAAATTGGCTTTATCAAGTATTTAAGGTTATAAATTGTTGTGAAATATATGTGACACAAGTCACACAACTCACACAAGCAATTCTGGAACTGAACAAGTTAGTTCTTGCCTTTCCTCTTGCTCTTGGAAGCTGCTGTTGGAGACTTGGAGTACTGTCTAGCATCTTGGTGTCAGCAACTGGCTCAAGTAAGTTTGTGTAACTGATGAATAAACCAATTTAGGTCATATTGAATTGATATTATCAATACAGGCTTTAACTACTCTTTAGACCCAATGCCTTTGGTTTGAGCTGCCAGAGCTGGATTGTGCACATTGGAAATTTGGACTTCTTACCAATCAAGTCAGGAAAAGATCTACTCTGTGAGCCGCATAGTGACAAACCAGAGAGTTTTTAGAATCAGTTCATTTTTAATTTCCTCATTTACCCAAGATTTAAACCAATTTCTCAAGTATGATAATGCTGGTATCCAGGATACTTTACTGGTCTACTTATAGGACTCAAAAATGAACTTGAGGGAGAGTCTAAAAAACTCTCATTTAAACCAATTTCTTAAGTATGATAATGCTGGTATCCAGGATACTTTACTGGTCTACTTATAGGACTCAAAAATGAACTTGAGGGAGAGTCTAAAAAACTCTCTGCTTTGCCACTATGGTGAGCCGCGACTGGATTTTTTGAGCCGCGAAATAATGAATTTTCAAGCCGTAAGTCTATTTCTCAAGCCGTGGAAAGCCATTCTTGAACCGCAAAGTTGCGAACTCTTGGCGGCAATGGCACGCGCGCAGCGCCGCCAGCGCGCGATCACGATTCACGAATAAGCTCAAATTTTGCCCTAGAAACAGCAGTTAAACATTATTCCCTTAATTTCCCTAATTCCCCTAACTAATTTCCTAATAAGCTAAATAAGGAAATAGCTAAACTAATTTCCTAATAGTTTAGCTCATGCTAATGCCTACCTTACGTCTTACGATATTGCAAAAATATAACACAGTTTTACAAGAGTCTGAGAGGCGAGTTCAAGATCTTCATCTCTTGCTGCTGTCACAGTTTAACATATACGTTATACGAGTATGACGAGAGCGTAGTACTAAATCGCGGAGGCGTGGACTTTAATATTTGATAATGATAAATTTTATGATAAAGAAAAAAAAAGAGTCGAACATACAAAGTTCGGGAAACACTTGTTAAGATGTTTTGACCAACCAGTGAACAAAAACGGTTCACCTGCAATCCACACTCAGGATGATGCATGTTTTCGGTAAATTTTCCCGCGCATTTTCACTTTTTTTAAGCTATTGCTGTGCACAGTTGGCGCAATGTAATGAAAATTGATCATCTTCGTGCACGTGTTCGCGCAATCCCGGCAATCAATTCTACGTCGCGCTGCCGCGCACGAGCAGTTTGTGGAGGAACAGACGTAATACTCACATTACTCAGTACAGTATGCCTTTAATTATCTTTCAATAATATATGATTTTTCTTGATACGGAAATTTGGTGAATGAGAAATCTAGAACTTTATTTTAGAAGAAATTTTCTCCAGTCATATGGCAACACTGAACACCGTCTGTTTACATTTCGTATGTATAATAGCCGCAGTTTACAATTACCGTACGTTCCGTATCTGACAAGCGGAAGAGTCAGAAGTAACCCGGACATGTCTTACATCTTATTATTGTCAGTTCGACTCGCGTAGTCAATATACTTGCGTATATTGTCGACTAAAATGGTAGAACTATTTTAGCTTTCTAAAGTACGGCGCACAGCGCCTTTTTTTACCAGCATAGTACGGCGCACCGCGCAGGTCGTTAAAATGACAAAATAAATTCCCGCGCACCTGGCACATCTTCCTGACCATGGCCTGCAATCAGGATGGAATTCTAATTTTGGAGGTTCATATATTATTTCGATCCACCAAGACCACTTCTTCTATCCAACTATTCCAACATCGTTATTTGAGGCAAAAAATGAACTTCTTGAAGGCTTAAAACACGCACGCTAACTTGCTCAGTTTCTATAAAGTACCTAATCACTTGGAAGTTGTAAACCTGCACCTATCACTCAACAATTAAAATTAGACTTATAAAAAAGTATTAGTTAGTTGAAAATTTGTATCTTAAGTTGACCGCAATGAACTAAACTTCATTAAGTAATCATTAGGCAGAGTTTTTCATCATGCACACTAAACACGCAATTCAGAGTTCAGACGAGACGAACTTCATAACACGTGATCTAGGCTAACATGCTACTGAATTGAATTGCTTCTTTCCCGCTAACGGTGATCTAGCGGGATGATCAATCGTTACTTAATTCGTATACGGTTGTATACGAATTACGAATTAACTAATCGTTTGTAAACTTGATGCAAGAGAATGAATAATTATGTTGTTTCTGATCAAACAAACAAAAACTTTTTCTGTTTCTGATCAAACGAACAAAAACTTCTGATCAAACGAACGAAAACTTCTGATCAAACGACTGAAAACTTCTGATCAAACGACTGAAAACTTCTGATCAAACAAACGAAAACTTCTGATCAAACGAATGAAAACTACTTTGAATTCTAATACGGATCGTTAATTTTAACATCGTATTTCCAAAAATCAATTATTGCATTTCTTTTAATTGAAAAACCTCCTTTTACATAAAAAACAACGAATTTTTTCTTACAGCTTCTCAGGAATGATGAATGAATGCTCCTCATATTGACAAATGACAATCTTACTCTTTTAGCTAAAAATTTTAAATTGAATGATTTTGTCATTTCAAAAACTCCATTGAATACAGAACTTTAGTTTTTGGAGGTGTATTCAAGAAAAGTTTCTGAAATAGTAGAAACATTTCCATTATCATTCTGAAATAGAAGCGTCATTTCCGTTCTTATATATAAACAGGATTAATAAAATACCTATCAAATCCATCCAATGTCATTCAATTTGTGATGTATGAACGACCGTTTTACTTTGATTCCTATGATGCTCATTTTAACCGGTTGAAGCTGTAGAATTAAATTAAATTAAAAAATTAAATAAAATTAAATTTTACTTAATCAAAATTTATTATTTAATACACTAGATGGTACATGCTGTAGAATTAAATTCTATTAGAAAAATGTTGAATTAAAAATCTGATTATATTTTTTAAATTAAAAATTAATTTTTATTGAATTAAATTGTATTATTAATTAACTTTATAATTGAATCATGTTAAAGACCATTCACAATATAATTCTACTACTAGTCTACGTTCTGTTCGAAACGAACTATTGATAAGGCCATATGTATATGATGATAAGAATACTTACAGGTATCAAGCCACCATGCATCGCAGACCGGCGCCAAGCCTAGTTGTTGTGGAAATGGGATTAGGAGTTATCACTGCACAACCGCACGTGGCAACAACATGAGCTCAAATGATACAGTGATACATCGGCCGGTGCACTTGTCTTTATCGTTTTGCTGCCGACAACTGCCAACCGCTGGCTTGCCCTTCCATCACACGTCACGTGACCCATTTCGGAGCCGCGACATTTCTAAATCAATATATTTTACCTGACTTCCGAGCCGCGAGATTTCAAACTTACATATAAATGGGAGATCTCGGGCCGCAAAATTTCCGTTAAAAGTAGATGTATTCCACCCCTGTTACCAATAGATGGTACTTGGTGCCACCAAGTTGGTGGCTCTGTTCCAAAACATTAAGCATTATGATTTGTAGGCAGGATTCAAGATTGAAATTATTCTACTTATCAATGAATTTTGCAACTTGCACAAGACATTTTTTCTCACATTTAGATATGAATCCTTCCAATTTGAAATATTAGCATAAGTTTCCTAAAATTGCAAATAAAAAATAGGGTAAACGCGGTATATTCCGACACTCTAAGGGCGCATCAAGAAATGAAAAACTATAAAAAAAGTATGTGTTACGTAAGTTCTGTTGCCTTCACATGACTCTCAAAACACTTCACTACGCGTCAGCAACGATGAAACGTCACAAAATGTTGCCAAATTTATTAAAAAGTCTTTAGAATGGAAACCTACCAAATCCCTATATTCCGTCACTTTGTGTGGCAACATCCGACACGTGGTGAGTCGTATTGTGTCAGCGCTTCAAATTTAACTGATACGTATTGCCGACATCCACGTGTTCGAATTCCGTTTGCTGTGTGAGCTGTATTGGGATACAACACGCCGACACGGCTTTGAATTAGAACACTAACGAATATTGAACACTACTTAATTACGTTTTAATTAACAGCTATTAGGCTTTTAATTAAGCGAATTTCAATTTTTGT